CATCAGCCACTGAAGGGAGGCAGGAGAGGGAGGGAAAGGAGGGGAAGGAATTGGGAAGGTAAAGCCAAATGGGATATGCCATGCTGGAACATTGACAGGGGCAGCTGAAGCTTAGGGAGGGAGGCAGAAGCAGAGGATGATGTCGAGGGCAGGATTGCTGGCCAGTGAGACAGCACTGGGACATCTGCTGCTGCCATCTGAAGGGGAAGAGGGAAGGGAGCACTGGGAAGGGGGGGGGGCAGGCTGATGGGAAATAGTACACTGGGAGCTGCTGAGGGCAGAGAATACATACCGACCACGTCCTCCTTAACCGACCAGATTTCATTTTATCCAAAACCTGGAGCGAGCAAAGTGGTCCAGGTTTTGGTAATGCTAAACCATGGCTGTCCCAAAATTGTGTGGCAGAACTTCTGGAATGTGTGTGTATATTCCTATTTCATGCACACCCTCACATAGCAGCATGTAGAAGAGGAAGGATCAGATATCATTGTCTGTTTAGCAAGGTAGATCAGTGTTAGGTTCTCCATTTTTGTCTATTGATATGGTCAGTCTTTCATATTTTTTCCAAAACCAACAGATCTGACAATTCTAGCTGCTTGTCAGATTATCTAAGATATTTTGGAATGAAGTTAGGAGAAGAGGTCCTTAGACCTCCAAAGTCTGTTTGCTTGATTATCAATTCTGGGTATCCTTATATTATCTTGATTTAGTATTTGAGCATTTTTATCAAATGCTAAATTTTATCAAATGTACTTTATCAAATATATGTCTCTGTTTATTTAATGCTAGATTTATCTCCTGCCTTTCCCCCAGAAGCTCAAGAGGTTGTACCTACCACTCCTACCCCCCATTTTTTCCCTGCAATAATCACCCTATGTGATAGGTTGAGATGAGGTTAGAGAAAGTTACTGGGCTAAGTCACCAAATGAGCTTCCTTGACTGAGGACAGATCCTTGGATCTCCCTGATCTAGCCCAACACTGTAACCACTACCCCAGAGATGTCTTCTTTCAGGAAACCTCTCTAACTTGAAAGGGGACTATTATTTTCCAAGAGAGCATAGTGTTAAGTGTAGCCTGCAAGAATGAACTGGAAAGAATAGGTAATCATTTTCTAAGGAAGAATGAAGGACAGTGTGTTCCTGGTTCAATATCAAAATGTTATACGGTGTATGGATGTGTGCATTCTGTTGTATTATAGATCTTATGATAATACTTTCAACATTTATGGTAGGACAGATAAGCTAATCTAATGCACTGGGGGCTGTTGGGAACTAGCCTGTATTGCTGGAAAGATAGATTTTAGGATCCATCTAATGGAGCATTCACCACTGCCTGTTTGTATGTTTGTTTGTTTGTTTGTATTACAAGCTAGGCAGTCTGCCCTCTGCCTTCATTACAAATGAAATAAAGCCACTCTGCTAATACTATTATCAGAAATAAATTAGTGTTACTCATCACAGTTATTTAATGTTGTGTTAAATATTGTGCATATTCATATTTACACACTATAGGAGTTTGAAAACATAAGGAGGCAGAAAACTATTTAGGCACTAGAGTGCAATGTTTTGTCTTGCTTTCTAGACTCTCTTTTTCCTAGCTCTCTTATATCAGATGCTTAATACTCCCTCTGTTTTAAATTA